ATTGACATGCTCCACTCCCCAAAACACTCAGGGCAACTTAGAATAAAGAGAGAAATACAGAAGCTGAAAAAATGTTCTACATTAAAAAAAAATCCCCCCCCCCAAATAGTTTCCAAAGCAGTTAAAAAGGTTTAAAAGCAATCTATCCCACAGCACTCACTCCCTTGCTTCTACCCTAGGAGAGCACTCCCCACCCTGGCTTCCCAATCCACATTCAATATCTCTGAAAAGAAAATAATTCCCCTCCACCACCCAGACTCTGTCCCATACCCACTCATGCCCACACCCCTGCCTCACACACCCTTATTGTCCCTTCCTAGCTATGCCTCCCTCTCTCAAAAGTGTTGGGATGGGGAAAGTACAGGTGTCTCCAACCATTCATGATCTCCTTCCTTGCAGTGGAAATCCATTGCACAAAACACACTCACCAAAAGAAACCTTCCAACAACACCCACCCCAGAGCAGCCTGCAGTCCCTTCTAAAGCCCCAGGCTGGCTGGGACTCCCCCAACCTTAGCTGGCTGTATGTGTGCCTACTTAGCCTTCCAGCCCTTCTCCCACTCCGGGTTTAGCTCCAAGAAGCAGAGGGGAGGAAATGGGGAATGAGAAAAGCAGTGATGCAGTAGCAGTCCCTGCCAAGCTGAGGCTACTTCACTGCATTTGGGGCCTGGCGGGCTGGTAACAGCAGCATCTTCATCACCCCAGGGGGATCGCTACTCAAGGAACTTGACAATGCCCAAATACAGACAATGACCAAATCCTTTGATTCAGGTGCAGCTGGTCAGAAATTCTGATATGTTAAAGCTGCTTTTTGGCACAAACAGGAGGAAAATCAGTGTGTGTAATTATTTCATGGAACAGAAGTATCTATAAAATTTAAATTGAGAAACATAAATATGAAATATGTTGCAATTTTCATCCAAAACTAGATATGTTGATGGGGCGGGGGGGGGGGGGGGGATATTTACTTGAAACAAAATAAACTTTTCATTTCCAAGCAACCACTTCCACTTGGCCCTGGGATGAAACTTTATGGAAAAATGCTGATTTGAAAAAAATTATTTTGAATTGACATTTAAAAAAAATGTTGATTGGAAAAGAAGTTGAATCCCTGACTTCTAAATGGCAAAATGTTAAAAAGATGATAATTTGATATTTTCCTTCAGAAAATTACTTTTTTTACTACATTCCTTGAAGGGAGACTGTCAGACTGTTGTATTTTTTTAATGTTTTTTTAATATTGGCCTTTACATATTTTCAATGGTCTTTTCTTGGACTGGAGAAGAGTAAACCCTGTGCTTGTGAAAACTTATGTTCTGATTTAGTTAGTTTATAAGGTGCAAATCCAGCCTGCTTTGTGCCTACACTGGGAGTGTCAACCTTAGTTTGAAAAGCAGACTGAATCTTATGTTTCATTATGGACTGTGCCAGAAATTCAGGACTACATATTCATAGCTGTCCACCATAGATTACCCCTGTGACTAATACCAATGGGAGGTGATTTCTCAGAAACCAAGGAGAGAGAATAGCTTTATGCAGTTATTGCATTTATATATTTTAATCAGCCCTACATTCATTTCTCTTTGTCTCTCTGCTGTTGAGATTCTCTTCTTTGTGTGTTACCTTCCTAGGAGCAACTTTTCTTTCTCACTCCTAATTGTCACAACCCAAAGGGTGTGATTTTTGTTTTGTGTGCTTCGGCACTGCTAAATTGTCCCCACTAAATTACAGCTTCTTTGCACGGTGGAGTTTTCTGCTGCAAAAGAGAACCCCGGTGCAAGGGAGAATTTCCCGCCAATTTGAAGCTTTCTTTGCAGGGTGCATTTCTTTGTTGCAGCACAGAAATGCTCGTTGCAAAGAGTTCCTGCCATTTGTATGCTAATTCGAGTCCCATTATTGGCCAGTTCTAAATTGTTCACACGTGGCGGCTAGTGATTGGCTTGCTAGCCGTATAAGAGGCTTGAGTGGTTTCCGCCCAAGTTGGAGGACTCCACGAACAAGGGAGGAGGAGACTTCACGCTGTGTGAAGATCTCTAAGCGCTGCGGATCCTTACGGACCCAGTGCATTTAAAGCAGGCAATAGAGGTCTGATCAACCTCTAGCCTCTCCCCGTCGCTGAGCACAGTCCAGACGTATCCCTTCCCGTGCGCAAAAGAACTGGACCTACAGAGCCTAGCAAACTCCGGGTGAATGAGTGAGCAGAGGAACCCACGGAGCCTAGCAAACTTCGTGTGAGTTTATTCAGAGCTCTTCCGGACGAATATTTTCTTCGGCTGACACCAGAGGCTCGTGTGTTCAGAGCCTTCAGCCGGATTGGGCTAGAGATCACGAGTCTAGAACTCTTGTCCGCCTCTCTTCTTTCATGTCTGTAACCGCAACTTAAGCAAGTTTCCAGCCTGCACCACTGCCATCTCAGTGTAAGTAAACAATATTTTAAACTACCGATACGCGTTTGTGCCTAATTCCAGCTCGACGGTCTTCCCTCTCCAACCCGGCGTGCCCGGGCTGCTGGCCACAGCCCGCGTGCAGCACGAAAAAGGGCTCGGGTTGCTCCCGGCCCGCACACTAATGTTTTAATTCCTACCCCTTGGCCACACCATCAGCTAAAATGCTCAGGAATCAAATAGTTAACATTAGAGACAAGAATAGTTGTGGGTGATATATTTTATTGGACTAACTGCATGGTTAGGATAGACGTAGGAAAGCTTTTTGGTATCACAGTAGCCTTCCTCAGGTCTATGTGAGAGAAGCAGAAGCAGCAGAGTAAGTAGCAGAGGGAACAAAAACTTGGGTAAAAACTCTTTATGTAAACATCTGGAATAACCCCAAGGAATGGTAAGGACCAATGGTCACAAACTCCTGCAAGACTGTTTTAGGCTGGACATATGGAAAAACTTCTTTATTGTTCGAGCCCCCAAGGCCTTGAATAGACTCCCCGCAGAGGCGGTGCAAGCACCTACTCTGGACACTTTTAAGAAACAGTTGGATGCTTATCTTGCTGGGATCATTTGACCCCAGCTGAATCCTGCCCGTGGGTCAGGGAACTGAACCTGATGATCTTACGAGGTCCTTTCTGGCCCTAATGTCTATGAAATCTATGAAATCTAGACCATCATGGCTACATTGCTCTGACACAACTATAACATGGAAGATATTGAAATCTGCTGCTTTTAAGGAAAAATCCACAATCTAAAGAAAAAAGAAGCCAGGTTAAAGAGTGCACATATCTACACGTGCAAGTAAAGTGGAGCAAAAAGTGCCGGTGCTTATTGTACTGGAATTGATTGCTCCTGGGTGTGTCGTTTGCATGTACACCTCAGACTGCAGCATGCTGAGCCAGGTCAGAGCAGCCCCGGTGCAGTGGCCAGCAGCAGTGGGAAGAGGCAGCATGGGTGGGGAGGGAGATGGCTGCCCACAGCCAAATCCAGTTGCCCCTGCTTGCTAGTGCTAATTGCTTTTTTAACCCCTCTCCTTGCACCAAGGGCCATCCAGCTGAGCAGAGGGAATTCCTTGGCTAGCTGGCCCCAGCACAGAATCCTTCCTGCCTGTGGGGAAAGGAGTGAGGGAGAACACCGGGTCCTTGCCTTCACGACAGTGTGGGCTTCAACCTCGCCAAGGTCCTTGCAGGGAAGGGGAGTATTATCATCCTCCCTGTTCCTACCTGCCCCTTAGGAACTCCTCACCCCCTGCACCTTTTCAATGCTAGTAACAAGTGGTCTTTGGGGTCCCTCCCTCACTTTCTCCCCACATTCTCCCTTGTTCACACCCTCCCCCCCTTTTTTTTAAGGAAAATTTTTCGTGTTCCAAGTCAGATCAGCCAAATCAATTCCAAATCCACGAGTCATTCAAGAGTCAACTGGTAGACATTCCCCACCCCTGCCTGGGGCTTCAGATGCTTCCAAATCATTTGGCAGGCATCCTACATGCAGGCCCAAGCCCAGGGTCTTGGGGTTCGGATGCCCTTGAATTTCACTTGTCCTCAGCCGTATGGCCTCAGGAGCAAGCTAGGGAGCAGGCTCCCATTTCCATAAAGTGGGCATAAAGCCAAGATCTTCCCACCGGAAGAGAAAGCGAGAAGTTAACTATAAATTACCTCCGTCAAAGTACTACCTCCTCCAAGAAAGTGGTCTTCCCCTGCAAGTACAAAAACCACCTTCCACATCATGGTGTCTCCCGTGCCAGGTAGTTGGTGAGTTGCTGGCAGGCATTGAGAACTGGGTTGCGTGAAACCATCCAACCCCCAGTCAAGCG